AGAGAGCCAAAGTATGATCTTGAATATATCCCTCCTGAATTTAGAGATCATCTAAAGAATAGATTTGATGCATTGAACACCAATGACCGAAAGCCAGGTGAATTATGGGAAGATATCAAGAACATTATCCATGAAGAAAGCAAGAGATCACTAAGAAGACAAGAAAAGAAGAGAAGACCCATATTTATTGCAACACTATTTACAATAGCAAAAAGATGGAAACAACCTATGTGCCCATAAGCGGAAGAATGGATAACCAAACTATGGTACATGCATACAGTGGAATACTTTGCAACCCTCAAAAATAATGTAGAATCTGTAAAACAGCGCCTAATGTTCATGAACTTGGAGGACAGTATGCGAAGTAAAATAAATCAGTCGTAGAAGGACAAATATTGTATTAGTTCATGATTGTAAAAAGTCAAGGAAAGGTTTACATATGGAAGGAAACTTTCTTTGTTGGTTACCAAGGGTGGGAGGGGAGGGGAGGGAACACTTGAAAAAAACTCTATTGACTTTTGTCACTTAAGTTTTGTGTATTTCACTGTATATAAATTATATTTCAATAAAATGCATTAAGAAAAAGTGCTATATAAGTGTAAAATGTGATTGGATAGAATATTGTATGACACAATTTATGTCCCTAGATATGTGGTAGGAATTGTATTCAGCCTCAGGAATACAAAAATGGAAATAAACATAGACTTGTTCTCTTAGAGTCTAAAATTTCACAGGGTAGATGAGACCTATAAATATTTAAATTAACTCTAGCTCAATATAGTACATGCAGTAATAGGAAGAAGACTAATCAGCTACTTAATGGATAAACAAAATGTGCTGTATCCATACAGTGGAGTATCACTCAGCCATAAAGAGGAATGAAGGACTTATACATGCTGTAACATGGATGAACCTTGAAAACATGCTAAGTAAAAGAAACCAGGCACAAAAGGCTGCATATTGTATGATTCCATCTACATGAAATATCCGGAGTAGACAAATTCAGAGCCAGTAGATTTATGATTACAATGGGATGGATAATTGAAGGAATTGAGAGGTACAGAGTTTCTCTTCAGGGTGATAGAAATGTTATGGAATTAGATAGTCTTGGTGATGGTTGCACAGCATAGTGAATACGCTGTGTTCAGACCACTGAATTGTCTACTTTAAGACAAAATTGTGAACTTTATCTTAAAAAACAATTCAAGAAAAAATAGAGGGAGAACATAGACACTTGGGTAAGTTCTGATAAGGCTTTTCAGAAGCGGTAACATTTAGCTTTTTTTTGGTGAGCATGTCGAGTAGAGGTTGGTAGATCTTGGTCATGGAGTTCCAGGCAAAGGCACAGTACCTTTAATAACTTTAATATTTTTATTTTTAGTACTTAGTGTTTGGGGAGCTCTGGTAGCATAGTGCTTAAGGCATTTGACTGCTAACCAGAAGGCTAGCAGTTCAAACCCACCAACCACTCCTCAGAAGGAAAATTGGGCAATCTACTTCCATAGTAATAAAGCCTCGGAAACCCAAGGAGTCACTATGAGTCGGATCCGATTCCACAGCAGTGGTAGTTTTGAGTCATGGTGGTTATTATTAACGTTTATTGAATGACAGATAAATACAAGCAAATATCCCACACACACACCTTAAGTGTTTTGGATTGCATAGAACTTGAATATTAATTTATAGCTGAGGGGTTTGTTTTGGGTATTTTTTAAGTATAAGATTTTTGGTTTGTAAAAATATTTTATATAGGTTGGATTCTTTTGCTACCATGTTTCTTGCTAAAAATGAGTTTAAATATTGACACCATTTTTAAAAGCAAAGCTAATGCAGACTTAATCTCTTGTAGGATGAAGAGAATGGGCAACATATATCAATAATTGTTGTGTTGGTACATTGTAATTTATAAAGCACTTTTCAGATGCGATCTCTCAATTGGATTTTAAAACAAGTCAGACAAATCAGTTGAAGTAGGGACTGGGGGGATCAGTAAAAATCAGTTATAGAGAAATGAAGATAGTTCCTTTAGTACTCTCATGCATTCATAGAAAAGATAGGTGTTAATATACTTGTCTTATGGGAGATGAGGCATTGTATCTAGCAGGTGAGTGGATGAGATTTGAATGCTTGTCTTTTGATTTTAAGGCCAATGCCATACATTTGAATTAAACTAGAACTTTCCTTGATACTTTTCTTTATTTTTCAGAGATTGAAGCCAACAAATCCAGCAGCCCAGAAAGCTCTAACTACACCCACTCATTATAAACTCACACCCCGTCCTGCCACTAGAGTGCGGCCAAAGGCTTTACAGACAACAGGCACAGCCAAGTCACAGCTCTTTGATGGGCTGGATGATGATGAACCATCCCTAGCCAATGGAGCATTCATGCCCAAGTGAGTTTAGTTTTGTTAACATAACTTAAATGTAAAATAGTGATATAAACTAAATATAAAATAACCCAGGACTTACATTACTTGTTCTTTGGCTTCTCATAACTAGTCTTTGTACCTTTCTCACTTGCTATACCTGATCCCACTCCTCTTTACTTTTGCCTGACACTATTTTTGTATTTCATGTTTAGTTTGTTTTCTGCTAGTTGAAGGTGTGTTCTTCATTTGAGACATTTAATTAATCCCTTTCTCTCCCTCCCCCTCTTTTACTATTTTAATCCATTGCATGTTAGACCCACAGACTGTCCAGAGTACCAGTAGCCTCTTAACCTTCCCTTTGGAATCAGAAAAGTCACCAGGAAAAAGCATCCTTAAACACTGGACACCTCTCTGTCTCCAGGATGCTGATTTGGACATTTTTCACTATCCTGTTGGTTCTTTTTTTGTGTGTGATTTGGGTGAAGATTTACAGAGCAAATTCACTTTCCATACAGCAGTTCACATATACTTTGTCTCATGTCATTGACCACAGTTTACCACA